GTTATGCAAAACCCTGTGGGCAGTACTAAGTTTGTGGATTGGGAATAAAAGAGACTGTATGTGACAGTACAGGGAGTTCCTGTTTTAACCCTCAAAGTGAAGTGTCGTCTCATTATTGGGGGAAGGATTTATTGTATGCTGTTCCAGTTTGACTGCTAGGAGACTAAACCTATTCGTATGGTTCCTATTCAACTGTCTACAGCATTCATATGCTTGAGAGCATTCATATGCTTCTCCGATTCGGTGGTTGTGGTGTCTGCCAGAGTGCTTGGAGTCCTCAGGAAGCGCTAGGAGCATCCTTCAGCGGAGGTACCCAGTCGGGGGTGCCAGGTGATCCAAGCTATTAAATTGTATTATTTTTCACAGCCTCAGTGTGGCTGGTTACAGGTAAATGGCAAATTCCCCAGGTATAAAAGGTTAAACGCCAAGCTAGAGGATATTCCCCTTCCAGATATACAGGCAGCTGCAAATGCATACCTCAATCCAATCAACCGAGAAGCATGCTAATGCTCTCAACATACGTAATGCTGTAAACAGTCAATAGAAACGTATTAGGTGAACTGGAACAGCATAATAAAATTGCCCCCAAGAACGGTGATGTAAGGTCTGTTTCTGAGGGTCAAGCAGGAATAGATTAGAACTGTGTGTTTATTGTTCTTCATACAATATTTCCCTACACATTAGTACCAATTCCAATCGGGTTTTCAAAACAAACCACAAAAAATACACACAAAAATCCCAATACTTAAAATTCTCCTTGTGATACAATTACCTTACACAATGGGTAATGTAATTATAACAAGCAGAGAAATAAAATTTTTCCACATTATTCATAACTTAAAAACTATGCATCACATTCACATACATTTTTTTTACATTTTCAGAATCAGCATTCTCCAAATACAAACATACGTCAAAATCATACAAATTGGTCCAGTGGTTCAAAAGATAGATCGTAGTCCTTTGTGACCAAAGGAAGCATGGCTTTTCTGCCCAAAACCAGTTCCACAGAGTCTTCTATCCTGGTGATAATTGGGAAGTAATCCAATTATCTCCAAGGACAGAGGCAAAACTCCATTGAACACATGGCAGCAAAAGACAATAAAATATTAAAATAAATTATATAAATTACGTGCAGCTATTGTGAAAACAGGTAATATTCAACATATCCCCTTAGGGTTTTTCTAGATCTGGAGCTTATTACTATTACTGAATGCTATGACCGCTACGCATAAAGTTCAAATTCGTCGCTGGAGCCAAAGTCTTTACATAGTCTTCGCTATACCAATGGGCCCATGGCATAGCCATCTGGGGTATCACTGTTCAAATAGGCTGGCACTTAATGCATGAGCTGCAATATTAAATCCCAATATCTCCGCTGGTAGAAGAAAATAATCCAAGGAAAGCGCTGAAAGAAGGCAATATCCCAAATTCCCCAGTAACCGGACGAAACACAGTTCTGGTAGTCAACTGAGATATTTATTCACAAGCTCCAGTATTTATGTGGTTCCCCATGCAAGGGGTTTCCTTAATTGTTTTACAGAGGTTATACAGTAGGGGACTACATGGGGAACTGAACATGCAGGACATTTTTCCCACCATGCACTGCTGTACGGGAGGGATACTCCCACAAGAATATCCTGCTAAGTGAATTATCCCTCCGTACAGCAGAAACGTCTTTTCACATAAAAATCTGTAACTTCCCAGCACAATTAACCGAACGCCACACGAAATACATTTTAACATCAACTCTTCATAAAAGTCACGAATGCATAGGTTGAGAGAAAGTACCGAAAGACCGGCGCCCCTGAACGGCCTGGAAGTCCAGCGGTGTTAGTGCCGGTGAGTAGCCGATTTTAGTTCCAGGCACTCGACGACCAAACACCGCTGGGCTAAAAGGGAATCAAAGATGGCCGCTGCGTGGTCGGTATCCAAACAACGGCCACCCTGGGTATCAATTAGCATAGATACAATGTTGCAATCGGTTAATGGGAGCCACACAACCCCCTGTGTGTGGGCTCCCATTCGGTACTTTGTTCGTTTCACTGTTCGTGAAACTACCATATATGAATGCCCTCTATCATATTTTTAAGCTAACACACAAAACACCATATAATGCAGTCTCTCCAGGGCAACCCTATACATATACCAAAATAGTCTTAAGTGGCTAGTTTTGTCACACCAAATGATTTCGTGTCTTTGCAGGGGAAAATCAAGCGTTTCAACATGGGGCCATAATCTAAAGGCAGCAGGCGGGCAACCAGGCTCCTCCAATGCACAGTGGCGAGACTGGTCTCATCACATCCAGCTTATAGTGTTATTACAGCTCAGTGTATTATAACAGCTTATTGTATTATTACAGCTCAGTGTATTATAACAGCTTATTGTATTATAACAGCATATTGTATTATTACAGCTCAGTGTATTATAAAAGCATATTGTATTATTACAGCTTATTGTATTATTACAGCTCAGTGTATTATAACAGCTTATTGTATTATCACAGCTCAGTGTATTATTACAGCTTATAGTGTTATAACAGCTTAGTGTACTATCACAGCTCAGTGTATTCTAATAGCATATTGTATTATTACAGCTTAATGTATTTTTACAGCTCAGTGTATTATAACAGCTTATTGTATTTTTACAGCTCAGTGTATTATAACAGCTTAGTGTACTATCACAGCTCAGTGTATTATAACAGCATATTGTATTATTACAGTTTATTGTATTTTTACAGCTCAGTGTATTATTACAGCTTATAGTGTTATAACAGCTTAGTGTACTATCACAGCTCAGTGTATTCTAATAGCATATTGTATTATTACAGCTTAATGTATTTTTACAGCTCAGTGTATTATAACAGCTTATTGTATTATCACAGCTTAGTGTATTATTACAGTTTATAGTGTTATAACAGCTTAGTGTACTATCACAGCTCAGTGTATTCTAATAGCATATTGTATTATTACAGCTTAATGTATTTTTACAGCTCAGTGTATTATAACAGCTTATTGTATTATCACAGCTTAGTGTATTATTACAGTTTATAGTGTTATAACAGCTTAGTGTACTATCACAGCTCAGTGTATTCTAATAGCATATTGTATTATAACAGCTTATTGTATTTTTACAGCTCAGTGTATTATAACAGCTTATTGTATTATCACAGCTTAGTGTATTATTACAGTTTATAGTGTTATAACAGCTTAGTGTACTATCACAGCTCAGTGTATTCTAATAGCATATTGTATTATAACAGCTTATTGTATTTTTACAGCTCAGTGTATTATAACAGCTTATTGTATTATCACAGCTCAGTGTATTATTACAGTTTATAGTGTTATAACAGCTTAGTGTACTATCACAGCTCAGTGTATTCTAATAGCATATTGTATTATTACAGCTCAGTGTATTATAACAGCTTACACAATAAAATAGGGAAGTAACATATCTCCAGGTAAATTAATATCTGTTTCAATTAGTGCCAAACAGCCGGGGAGGAAACAATCCATTCCATTCGGACAAAATGCTGGTAAACCGAGGGTTGTAGACAGTGACACTTAAGGTGCAGCGGTTACTTTTCTACCTATCAAGATTCACTCTCTATTGAGCTCTCTGAGTCCTAAGTCGGGGTGAGTAGGGATTTAAATAGGTCTCCTTCTAAAGAACTTGTTTTCTGTGGTTGGTTATGTTCAGGTGGAATGTCTTGTCAAATAAATCTTGGAATCTTGAGATGGTAGAATATATCTGTGGGGCTTAACTTTGTTTGCCTTGTCATTTGTTTTATAGTATTATAGTTAGAGTCCGAATCCTCCAAGGCAAATCTCTGATCTCTGTTTAAATAAAGAAGACACAGACTGTGAAAATTCCACTGCACTGGTCCTAAGTGTTTAAACACTGTTTGTATAGTCTTGGCTTGGTTAAGGAAGGAATTACCCCTTACAGGTGTTAGAGATGTGTAACTCTAACTATAGTTAAACATCTTAAAGGAAGGCAATAAATAAACTACTTAAGAAAGCTGGCATGCCCTCAGATATGAAGTCTGTCAGGTTCTCCTCCCTATCACTCTTTTCCAACATATATCTGTGTAATTGGTATCTATATAGTTGTCGATGGTTATGTGTGGATGGTGTTCTATATATGTTTCACCAAAAGGAATTTTTTGGGGGTATTTAAGGGTGCAGCCCTCTAATCCCATTTATCATGATATATCTGACTATTTCTCCACTCTCCTATTTCATAAAGTATGAGTTTGTTTTTCTGTTTATATTGTTATGTATTTTTCACATGGGATCTGTGTGCCTGGTATGATTGTTACTTTAATACCATAAGCCCACTACACTTTCTATGAGAGTGGGATAGTGTGATTGTATTACATTGTCTGCCTGATAAGCCTAGCATTTTCATACTAAGACAAAAGTCACTTCATTAGTATTTGAAAGTTAAGTCCCCATACGTGATTAATTGTGTAAAACATCAAGCACCACATTTTCCCTGCCCTGTGTGTTTACTGCAGAGGATCCATACTGTAAATATACTTTTGTTTGTAAATTAGAGAGCCACATCTACTTTTTCAGCGGTCCAACATATGCTTCATTTTGTGCTGTAAGCTAACGTTTCCTTGCTACAGGTAGACTCCCTGTGTGTTGGGTTTGAGGTTTGGTCAGGTATCAAAATCTGGATCAAAGTCTGGATCAAAATATCATGGACAAAGGTTGATTATATGTTTCTCTATTGCTTTTAAATATTCAACTGGATAGATCCATTCAGAAGGTTTGCCATGCCTAACATGGTCTAGCATAATAATGTTGAGTCTCTGAGAGTTCTGAGAGATTCAGGTGATACCATGGCTGTGTAATCTGGTCCAAATATTTGCTCAAGGATGATTTATAGTGATGTCCCGAACTGTTCGCCGATCGGTTCGCGAACAGTTCGCCACGAACGGTTCGCCGCGGACTCATCATTGAGTAAACTTTGACCCTGTACCTCACAGTCAGCAGACACATTCCAGCCAATCAGCAGCAGACCCTCCCTCCCAGACCCTCCCACCTCCTGGACAGCTCACTAAGAATGCAGCTTCACAATGGATGCTGTCCAGGAGGTGGGAGGGTCTGGGAGGGAGGGTCTGCTGCTTATTGGCTGGAATGTTTCTGCTGACTGTGAGGTACAGGGTCAAAGTTTACTCAATGATGAGTCCGTGGCAAACCATTCGTGGCAACTGTTCGGCGAACAGTTCGGGACATCACTAATGATTTAGTATCATCTCAGAGAGAAATTTTATTGACAGGGTACAGATTTTGCAATAATTTAATGCAAGTTTCACACTAATATGTAAAACGAGAGCTATATAAAAGGGATCCCTTCTTTATAAACAATACTATGGTAGATTAAGTAATTAAGGAAATACATGTGTATATATAAGAACCCTACAATAAATCTGATACAAACTAAAACTGGTAACCTTACAATAATATGTTCTGAATACAGATGTTATGAGTTTATTCTGTGTAATTGGTACCTGTGTTAATATGTGTCTTGAATACCCAATAATGAAGTGTGCAGCTTAAGTAGCGAGTAGATTAAATTGGTATTTTACTGGGTTGTTTTAAAACATATTTGAATCAGTTTGTCTCAGTCTATTGATACAGATAGAAATACCAACCTAATAATCTATTAAATAACTGTTTTATGGGCTGTTGAATACTAGCGTTATTGCTTTTGTCCAAGAGCAGTGGGAGTTGGAGTAGTTCTAACAGTTCTGAGAGGCTCTGCTTTGGGGTCTGTTCTACAGTGTAGCTAATGTATTGCTGTTGCAATAGTTGACTTCCTGTTTTATTCAACTTTCCTGTTCATTTGCCAAGTTTTGTGATCTATCTTCAATGCTGGTTGTCTGCTTCCATAGAAGTCAAATAGTTTGCAGAAATTTTCATTTTTTTTTTAAAAAGGCTTATTATACATAGGGGTGAGAATGGTGTTGCATATTTAATTGACTAAGTGTTAGTTTGGGACTGCAGTTGTAATCTATCAGGAGCATAGGAAACTACATTATGTCTTACTGTGTTTCTTCTGAGGGACACAGAGTGTGAAATGTATTTACTTATTTTGTTAACTTATTCTGGAATGGTTATGGTTTAGTTGTGTGTCCATGAATGTGCTTTATGTATTGGCATATTTGCTGGATATCTATTATGTGTATCTACTACGTCTCTTGTGTTCTGTTTTGTCAGATGACAACATGTTTGATATTACAATGATTGACGAATTTAAGTTCTATGGGTTGTAATTAGTGATGTCCCGAACGGTTCGCCACGAACGGTTCGCCACGGACTCATCATTGAGTAAACTTTGACCCTGTACCTCACAGTCAGCAGACACATTCCAGTCAATCAGCAGCAGACCTTCCCTCCCAGACCCTCCCACCTCCTGGACAGCATCCATTTTGAAGCAGCATTCTTAGTGAGCTGTCCAGGAGGTGGGAGGGTCTGGGAGGGAGGGTCTGCTGCTGATTGGCTGGAATGTGTCTGCTGACTGTGAGGTACAGGGTCGAAGTTTACTCAATGATGAGTCCGTGGCGAACCGTTCAGCGAACCGTTCGGCGAACCGTTCGGGACATCACTAGTTGTAATGAATTGGTGTGTTAGGTGTTAATGTCTATTGTTTATGAGATTAAATAGTGTAATGGACCGTTTTGCACACAAGGGGTAAAAAACGTTTAGGCGATCGTACCCCTTTCCAGAGATGCAGGCACAGCTACAGCAGAACACCAATCCGCCGAACAGGAAACCATACAAATGCTGTAACCAGCCGAATAGGAAAAACCATAAGTTTATACTCCTAGCAGTCGAACTGGAACAGCATACAATAAATCCCCCCAAGAACGAGACAAGGCTCCGTGTTGAGGGTCAAGCAGTGGTCTTTTTAATGAGGGCTACCTGCCCAGTATTTATGCAGGTCTCCCACCTGGTGGACACTCCCCTAGGGGACCAAATGGGAGACTGTGACAAGGGACAGACAAGTACCAATTACAGACATACAGAAGTAAAACATCCCCACAATGCATCTTGGCTTCCTCCCCTCTGCCCTGGAGAAGTAATTCAATTATCTCCCAGGACAAAGGCAAAACTCCATTACACACGTGGGGACACAAAGACAGACTATCACTTTAAAATACATAATGGGACAAATGGTACAGTAAATATATACATGTAACATATCCCCAGATAGCTCAGGTCTGAGTGCACATTATTAGGTGAACGGCACTCAGACCACATGAATACAGTTTAATTGCCATGGAGCCAAAGTCTTTAATTACACGAACAGGCTCCATGGCATGGCTATCTGGGTTAAAACATTCCTCCAACATAAAATACCGAATTTACATGCATTCGTTAAATCCGTACGAATTAGAACCAGGGGTTGGAGGTTCAGCGGTGCCTGCATGTAAAAGTGTCCGGGCAGGGCCGGATTAAGAGCACAGTAGGCCTGGTGCTGACAATTATGATGGGCCTAATTACGGAATCTTATTGACCAAAAACACTAAAACAATCATACCTCCCAAGCGTCATGTATCTGATGCTGGAGGGAAACTCAAAGGATGCAGCTATAAGAAAACACATACTCTATGCTAATCCCTCTCTAATTTATGATTTCATCTTTCAAGTAAATCCATAACCCCTAACAGCAGTGTCCAGTGAAGCAGGAAGTCAATGGGCGGGGTAAAAGGGTGTCACGTGACAAGACCTGCCAAAAGGGGTGAACATGCCCAAAAAGGGGAACGTTTGTCCAAAGAATTGGAAGGTCAGCCTGGCATGAATGCATGTCAGGCTGCCTGCCAATCTTGCAGGCTGTCCAACTAAGGGCATACTATGCAGGCAGCACCTTGAGCTTGACATAAATGCGTCTAATGATGCGCTCATTCCATTCTTTCAAAGGACTGTCCCATAGCACTCGCTGGTCCACTTGTCTCCTTACCTTCTTACTAGCAGGCAGAAGGTCCTGGTATATAGTCTGAGACAGAGAAAAGATGTCTGTAGTGAGTGTAGAAGAAAGGGGACATGCCACAGTGTTAGAGAGACCAACATCTGCATTACCTAAACTAACTTTAATGTCAGCAAGTGCACACAAGTTTTGTTCCAATACATCCCTCTTAAGCTTCCAAACTTAAAGGGACACTATAGTCACCAGAACAACTACAGCTTATTGTATTTGTTCTGGTAAGTAGAATCATTCCATTCAGGCTTTTTGCGGTAAACACTGTCTTTTCAGAGAAAATAACTCCACTGGCTGCTCCTTAGATGGCTGCTAGAGGTGCTCCCTGGGGCAGTACTGCCTAGTGTGCAGCACTGCCATTCAGTGTCTCCACCCTCTTCATGTAGACACTGAACTTTCTTCATAGAGATGCATTGATTCAAGTTATCTTTATGAGGAGATGCTGATTGGCCAGGGCTATGTTGGACTTGTGCTGGCTCTGCCCCTGATCTGCCTAGTTGACAGTCTCAGCCAGTCCTATGGGGAAGTATTGTAATTTGCTCAGACCACCACTTCTGAGCCAGCAGCTGCAGAATTGAATACAAGTAATATTTTACTATATTTAGGGAGGCAAGAAGGGGCCAGGGTGGTGGTTTTAACATAATAGGGTCAGAAATACATGATTGTGTTCCTGACCCTATAGTGCTTCTTTAAGCAAGAGTATGTGAAGAGTAGTTAAGGTTGCCACCTTTCTTGGAAAAAAATACCAGCCTTAATAATTTGTATAATTAGTTATGCGTGACATCACATGATGTAAATTACAAGGAGTGACATCAGAGAAAATTCTATAAAATCACCAAACTACTCACAGTTTGATTCTGCTGTATAGATGGATTGCTCCCAGTGTCTCCCTGTCTCCCTGTCTCCCAGTCTCGCAAGTCACCCAGTGTCTCAGTGTCCCTATGTATCACCGTGTCAGTGTCCCTGTGTCGCCCAGTCCCCTAGTCTCCCAGTGTCTGTGTCCCCATTTCTCCCAGTGTCCCAATGTCTCAGTGTGTCCCCATGTCACTAGGATACTGGGGACACTGAGAGACCCAGGGACACTAAGACCCGGGGACACTGAGACATTTAGGGAAACTGGGAGAAATGGGGACACTGAGACACTAGGGACACAGACACTGGGAGACATGGGGACACTGAAACATTTGGGGACACTAAGACACTAGGGACACAGACATGGGAACACAGACACTGGGAGACTAGGGGACACTGGGAGACACTGGCTGGGAGACAGACACTTGGGGACACTGGGAGACATGGGGACAGTTGTGGACATAGACATGTGGACACTGGGACATATAGGGACACTGGGAGGCATGGGGACACCAGGCACACTGAGACACTAGGAACACACTGGGAGACATGGAGACACTGAAACATGGGGACACTAAGACACTAGGGACACAGACACTGGGAGACTAGGGGACACTGGGAGACTAGGGGATACTGGGAGACAGACACTTGGGGAGACATGGGGACAGTTGTGGACATGGACATGGGGACACTGGGACACATGGGGACACTAGGCACACTGAGAGACATGGGACACAGACACTGGGAGACTTGGGGACACTGATACACTAGGGACACTGGCTGGGGGACATAGTGTCTCCATGTCCCAATGTCTCCCAATGTCCCTATGTCTCACAGCGTCCCCATGTGTCTCAGCGTCCCCATGTGTCTCAGAGTCCCCTAGCGTCTCAGCGTCCCCTAGCGTCTCAGTGTCCCCTAGTGTCTCAGTGTCCCCAGGTCTCCCAGTGTCTGTGTCCCCATGTGTCCTAATGTCTCAGTGTCCCCTAGTGACAGTGTCCCCATATGTCCCCAAGTGTCTCAGTGTCCCCAAGTGTCTCAGTGTTCCCAGGGTCTGTGTCCTAGTGTCTCAGTGTCCCCTAGTGTATGTGTCATCATGTGTCCCCTAGTGTCTGTGTCCCCTAGTGTCTAAGGGTCCCCATGTGTCCCCTAGTGTCTCAGTGTCCCCTAGTGTATGTGTCCCAATGTGTCCCCTAGTGTCTCAGTGTCCCTAATGTGTTCCCTAGTGTCTGTGTCCCCATGTGTCCCTGCTGCCTTTCCCCCGATCCCTCACTTACCTGAGCTGTAGAGCTGCTGTCTGGACTCCCTGTGCTGTG